TGCAAGTACCATCAGTTATCAAATCATTTTTACACTGTTTCTAGATTTTAACCTTATGTGTAAAATACTGCTCTGTGTGTGTGTGTGTGTGTGTGTGTGTGTGTGTGTGTGTGTGTGTGTGTGTTGGTGTATGTCAGTGTGTTTCCTTTATTTCCTTAGGATAATTTTTTAGGGATGGGCTTATGGGATCACAGGGTGTGTGCACATGAGCAGTTTTAGGCTCTGTATAAAAATGCCTAGGTTCATGTTGGTGAGGTTGCGGAGAAAGGGGAACCCTCCTCCACTGCTGGTGGGAATGCAAATTAGTTCAACCATTGTGGAAAGCAGTATGAAGGTTCCTCAAAAAGCTCAAAATAGAAATACCATTTGACCCAGGAATTCCACTTCTAGGAATTTACCCTAAGAATGCAGCAGCCTAGTTTGAAAAAGACAGATGCACCCCTATGTTTATCACAGCACTATTTACAATAGCCAAGAAATGGAAGCAACCTAAATGTCCATCAATAGATGAATGGATAAAGAAGATGTGGTACATATACACATTGGAATATTATTCAGCCATAAGAAGAAAACAAGTCCTACCATTTGCAACAACATGGATGGAGCTAGAGGGTATTATGTTCAGTGAAATAAGCCAGGCAGAGAAAGACAAGTACCAAATGATTTCACTCATATGTGGAGTATAAGAACAAAGAAAAACTAAAGGAACAAAACAGCAGCAGAATCACAGAACCCAAGAATGGACTAACGGTTACCAAAGGGAAAGGGACTGGGCAGGAGGGGTGGGAAGGGAGGGATAAGGGCAGGGAAAAAGAAAGGAGGCCTCACAATTAGCATGTATAATATGTGGGCAGGGGGGGCACGGGGAGGGCTGTGCAACACAGAGAAGACAAGTAGTGAGTCTACAGCATCTTACTACACTGATGGACAGTGACTGTAATGGGGTTTGTGGGGGCGGATTTGGTGAAGGGGGGAGTCTAGTAACCATAATATTCTTCATGTAATTGTAGATTAATGATAATAAAATGAATTAAAAAACATGAAGGAATTTAAATAAGTGCATAAATGTGATTATGTATATTCAAATTTTCCATAGAAGTGGTTACTAAAATTATCTAGATTTACAGATAGCATAATCTGTAAACTGAATTAGAAAACTTAAGTAAGAAGTAGGGTTTTGGATTTTTAACTTTAATAAAATGAATGCTAAATTTAAAAAAATAATGCCTAGGTGCCATTTGCAAGTTGGTGATTCATTGCATCTACCCAGGCCAGAGGAAGAATGTAAGTCAGAAGGGACACTTAACATTTCCAAGGCTTTCTTTGGGATTGGATTTCCCAGTCTTATTGGTTGATATGGTTCTGGGAGAAAGGCTAGAATCTGTAGGAGCTCCCACAAAGCATGTATTGATCTGCTAAATTGTAGTCCTAGGGAATTACGGGTTCCCTAGAGTATCCTGAAAATTATTAACAGCATGCAATCCTGATCAGTGTGAATGTGTCTTTAGACTGTTAGCCAATTCTTTGCATAATACCAATCATCTACCTATAAAAGTGCAAATATGTTATTGTTCTCAATAGGCAATTTAATGCAGCTTTGGGGAGGAAAAAAGAGAAAAGAAGATTACAAGCTGGCTGATCTTGCTTTTATTTCTCTTAAATCTATCCACACTTCTCAGGGGTTGTACTTGTTTAAAGATTGTATGCAACTGTGCAGTCTGTGTGATTTGGAAAGCAAATCAAACTAAATATGAAGTTTTCAGCATGTGCTATTTTTAAAGGATTTCATGCATTTATTTCAAATACACATTTCTTTCTGAATAGTGCTAAACCTATAATCTTTTTCTTGTTACATTTCTTCTTTTTTGAGGGAGGGAGGCCAAATGGGTGACTTGGTTTTGGAGTGGAAGGTTCCTATTAACATCTACCTCCTTGTGCGACATTATTCACAGCAGAGCTATTAAGGCTAATTATTTTCAGGTTTCTATCAAAGGCGAATATTTGAGCTGACAAAAAAAAAAAAAAAGAGCATTTATTGGGAAGAAAAATGGCCTGTTTAAATAAGAAAGGAATCATTATCATGTGCACCCTCCCCCCCAACACACACCTCTGTTATTAGCCTACATAGGCAGGAGGGGCCAGGAGACCCCAGGGGAGTCTGTGAGATGAGGAGGTTCTAAGAGGCTGTGCTCATCCAGATGCATGGCACCCCAAAAAGGGGCAGTGCTTTTTTTCCTGTGTTTTTCTGAATCCCGCCTGGTTTGCTCATTGCCCTTCAAGCTGCTTTCAGTGTATTATTTTAGTTCTCATTTGGGGTAAAATTCACTGACCCTTGATATGTAATGGAAAGAATATTAGCAGATGAGCTGGGAGTATCAGTCAGGAGAGGCTAACTGCTGGGGGGAGCAGCCCCAAGTCTTGGTGGCTTAGCCACTCTCAGTCCGCCCAAGGCTTCAGGAGAGTGAGGAGTGCCCAGCCAGGCAGGGACCTAGGCTCCTTCCATCCTGTGGCTCTGCACCAGGCCTGGGCCTTGGAGTTCTTCACTGGGCCTGCCAGTGGGTGGGGCAGGAGTGACAGTGTGGAGAATGTGGAGCCTTGTGGGCATGATTTATGGGCCTGGTTCTGAATGGACACACATCACGAATACCCCCATTTCTTTGGCCAAAACTCAGACTTAAACACTCATAACTGCAAGAGGCTCCTGGAGATGCAGCTCTTATGTGCTGAATTGTGTCCCCCCTAAAATTCATATATTGAAGCCCTAACTCCTGGTACCTCAGAATGTAACCCATTTGGAAATGGGCCCTTTAAAAAGGTGACTGAATTACAATGAGGCTGTTAGGGTGGGCCCTAATCCAATATGACTGGGTGTCCTTCTGAAAAGAGCAAATTAGGACAGACAGACCTCAGGGGTGTGCATGCACAAAGGGACAGCCACGTGAAGTGGAAGCAAGAGAGAAGCTATCTGCAAGCGAGGGAGAGAGGTCACAGGAGAGGCCAACTTCATCAGCTCCTTAGCCTTGGTCTCCTATCCTCAAGACTGAGGAAAAATAAATTTCTGTGGTTTAAACCACCCAGCATGGGATTTTGTTATGACAGTCCTAGTACTTAATATATAGCAGCTTAGCTGAGTGCCCACAAAGAGGGGTAAATGTGTATGGTGAGCATGGAGCTATTCTCTGCCATGCTGAGAGCTCATGTTTTATCTCCAGTCTAGTGGGCAGACTGCTGGGTATTCTTGGGCAAGTCTCTCCCTTGAGGGCTCAGATTCCTTGTCTGTAAAATGGATGAAGAGATGGAGGGGATCTTTGAGGGTCTCCCCATGGCCTTGGGATCTGACCTTGTGTACGGAGACCCCAGATAACTAGTGCCTGGAGCTGCCAGCCCTGGGATTTCAGGATAGATCATGGTGGCATGCTGAAGAACCCAGCAACCTGGATTCAAATCCTGCCTCTGCTAGTGGCTGTGAGACTTTGGGCAAGTGAGTGCCACAGTTACCTCATCTTTAGAATGGGGTTGATAAAATGAGGGTTTGTTGGATTAAAGGATTAAAGGAAACGACTGTAAAGCACTCATCCCAGGGTGGGGTACAAAGAAGGCTCAATACCATTTGTTTCTCCTTCCCTCTCCTTTTTCCTTTCTTCCCTTTTTTTCCTTTTTCTATTTTTACATTCTTTTCAAGTATTCTCATCTCAAAGTCTTGAATGTGAAGATGCAGAGAAATTAATTTTGAAAGCATTTTCACACACATACTTGCATTTGATCCTCCCAGTGCTGCTTATAAGGCAGAAGGTTGCACCTTGTTTTTCAAATATGGCATACGAAGAGAGCTCGTGGCATTCACTGAGCCTTCCCAAGAGAAATGACGATGAGATTGGAGCTCAGGTCTCTGGGCCCAGCACCTTGCTGTTACTTAATGTATAACTTGGCTCTTCTGAGGATTTCTGGGTTTAGAATTCAGAGACGTGATTCAGGAAAGGAGAGCCTGAAAAATAGGGGTACCCTGACACTGTCCGGAGAGTTCCCTTGGTGGGCACAAAATAGCAACGGCAGCTCTTTCAGAGGGGCCCACCATGGAACTCAGCCCAGTCCTCACCTTCCAGACTGGCTGCCATTTTTTTCAAAGGCCAGTCAATGCAGCTGTTGTGCAAAAAAAAGAAAGAGATGTATTTACATTCAGGAGTAGAAAGAAGAGCAGGTTATGTGGTTAGCTTCCAGCTGGCCCTGACGCTGTCTGATGGGGACTGTGTTGACTTAACTTAGTTTAGGACCACAGTTTGCTTGTTTGTGTGTTCCATATCACCTAGACTTCCTCCACACTTCTGGGAGGCAGGGGCATGGCCTCAGGGTCTTGTTTGCTCCTGGGTGTGTGTAGCTCCCAGCCGCACACATCTTCAAACCACCTGTGTTTGCTTTTGTGAACATCGGTAGAGGGCCCGCAGGCCCGAAGTCCCTACCCTAAGTCACAGGCTGAGGAACAAGGGCCAAGGCCAGAAAGGAAGAGTGGGAGGAGACAGGCATGTGACCGTCCTGGTCCTGTGCACCATGCTTTAATTCCTGGCTTCAGGGCCAGGCCTCTGTCCTCATACTTGGAAAGCTTGATGACCATTAGCTGTTTTAAGAGGAAAATTATATTTCATTTCACTTTTATTCAAAACAAACTTTCTAGCAGGGTGGAATTTCATGATGCACTACAGACTGCTGGAGATCTTGAAGTTATAGGAAAATGACAGTGTATTCGGCCTTTCTGCTCTCTCTCTCCTATAGGGCAGGTTATCAGTCTTCGTCATGGCTAATGGCAATTTATGCTATCCATGACCAGTGGGAAGGAAAAATATTCATATTTTAAAAATGCACTGAGACAGATCTCTTCTCATTTGGAACATGCTGAAAGGAAGGAAGTAGAGTTTCCAAGGTCATGGTTTCTCAGTCTTTCCTGGGAGGTTGTCATTTATTTATGATCTTATCATTTGCGTTTCTAGATGAGGAGGAATTCTTCTGGAGTCTTTGAAGAAGAGAATGTGGAGTCATTTGGGCAAAGGAAGCTGCTCAAGTTCCTCTGCTTTTCAGAATAGGGTACTTTTTAGCTCTGCCAAACAGAGATGGCCTTGTCACCCTGAAGTTTACATGGAAAGAGACATGGATGAAACCTCAAGATGACAAGCATCTTCAGTCCAGGAATGAAAATTAAATCGCCCAAATCCAAGATTGGTGTTATCAAGCTAAAAAATAAGAATTGTTTCAGGGTATTTCTCAGGACAAACCTCCGGGTGTACTTGGCCCAGGTATACACAACTTGTACTCTCCTGTCTGACTCCCACTGGGATAGTGGGAGTGGGGCCCCAGAAATTCCCAGCTCTTGAGCATCTTATTGGGGCTGTACAGTCACTGGAAGGAGGGAAACCAGCACGAGGTGAGCCAGGACATTTGCTAAGGAGATGAGGAGTCAGTGCACACAGCTGTCTATCTCTCTTCTCATTCCATCAGTCAAAAAGGGATTTCAGGTGCATCCTTTGGGAAGACTTTCTTTTTCACCCATTTTCCAAAGTTTCTAACTGCTTACCTCCAAGCCTCAGCTTTTCAGTTCATTCTCCCATCCTTGCATCTATCCATCCATCCACCCATGTTACAGCTACTAAGTGCATTAGGCTCCTTGCAAGGTTTTGGGATATAAAAGTAACTGAAACAGTTACTTCAATCTTTACTGTGGCCCTTTTCTAGGGAAGGTGGACTTGAGTCCTTCCCTTATCTCCCTATGTTGACCTTATCTACAGCACTTAGGTGCCTACAAATTTCTCCTCCTCTGGGTGCCTGATAAAGTATATGGATGTTATAAATTGACTGTTTTAAATAACTTGACCTATATACCTCATATTCTTATTCTGACTATTAGAGTCGGATAGACAGAATTTTCCAAAAGGATTTTAGATTGATATTTTATTTTAGATTTCACTCTGGAAGGAAGAAACAGAATAAGGCTTGTAGTAATGTGTGCTTCTGACCAGGCAGGCGAGGTACGTGTCTCCTGCCTCTCTCCATGATGCATGTGTGGACTCCACAGGAAAACCCAGCCCAGTCCAGAGGAGTCGGTCTCTCTGGATAGTCAGGGGTCCTGTGTGAAGAGCCCCAAGTGGCTAGCCTCCATGAAGTCCCCATTGGATTGGGGCAGTTTGGAAAATGCTTAGGCCTTCAGTTAGCTGGACACCAGAAGAAAAACATGCCATTAGAGAGTTTTTATACCAAAATATGGAATCCAAAGGGAAGGAGCTGAGAACTAGGGGAAGGAATTAAGAAAATAAGCAAAATGAATACACATATGTCCTCCTAGGACATGAGAGTCCATAGAGATGAGGCTATGACTCAGAGCTAGAATCATCTGGTAATGACAGAGATGGGTCTTTAAAAAAAAAATGCTATGAATAAGTCATCGTGTGTCAGCTTTTATAATGGTAGGGAGTAAGAGAAGGGACCTGACCTCGGCCTGCCACTCTCTTTTAGTTGGGTTGGTTCTTAACCGGCAGGAATTTTGCGAGCTTCATTGCACAAAGCCTTTTGTCTGGGGCACCTGTAGTTGTCTGATACCAGCTCTGAGTTTTGCATTGTGATTTCTGACCTCATTTGCTACTGTCCTTCAGTGTATTTTTCAGCTCACCTAGGTGAGTCTGTACCTCAAGTTTTTCTTCTTCTTCTTCCTCTTCCTTGCTTTACTTTAAAAATAAATATGCAGTTATCATTGCCAACCCAGTATCTCATCTCCACACCACATTCTTCGCCTAGGTAATATCTTTCCTACCCTCCTCTCCCTTTCATAAATTCTTCCCATCTTCCATGGCCAGCTCAGGCCCTTTCTACTATGAAACCTCTCATGATTCTGGGGCGTTTAATTCCCATACCCAGGGCTTCTCTTTAAATACCCCGTTACAAACCGTATTATATTTTCTGATATTTGTGTGTAACCATCTTACTTTCTCAATTGGGTAGTTAAGGAATATATCTACTGTATCTTCTGCTATACCTCATGGGGCCAAACATAAGGATGGTCCTAAAACTATTCTTGGAATTTGTCATCTTCCACTACTATGAACTGCACTGAGATCATCACCTTCTCCCTTATGGCCAGTCACCGGGGAAGACCTGGCCTGTACCAGCACTCCTGACTTGTATCAGTTCTCCTACTAAGTGGTATTCTGAAAATATGTGTATGAGACAGTGGCCAGCCTTGGGACAGAGGAAAGTTCTGCAGTGTATTTGGATGCTGGCTAGAGGTCACACCACAAGGCCACTGTCCACATATCAGCTTTGCCTCAGGAGCTGACTTGTGTTTTTCATATAAATCATAGTGAGTTGCCCATTATAAACACCTTGTAAAACTCAGGAGGCTTTATGGCTGTTATTAGCTACTACATTATGATTTACAAGCTAATTCAGGCCAATGTGTGGATGAGTTTGCCCAGGGCACCATTTGGCCCATCTTCATAAGTCAGAGAGTAGAGTAGGCTATGCAATCAGAAGTAAATACCCCATCCAGAAGCCTATGGCAAATCAGGGTTTGCTTAATGTTTTAAGCAAGCAGATTAGCAGTCACTCCTTTCAAGATAGGCTATGTCTTCATGCCAGGACACCTCCATGCAAGAACCCTTGGTGGGAAACATGGCTATAGCAGCCAGCTTACTCTCAACAGTAAGACATCCTTATCGAGGGCAGCAAGAAATATCTGGTGGCCCTGGTGACACCTTTATGTTTCCCAATATATTCAGCATCAGATTTTCAATTGGCCTACAGTTAGTAGTATTCACATCAACACTTGCCCATTTTTTTGAAAGTATCACTATTAGGTTGCCTATTTGTGCATTTGTTTATATAAAATCTGATACAGCCATGGATTGTGAGTAGGACAATACATGTGTTATATGCACATATATTTTTATTAATGTGCTATGCTTTCAACTTCTTTTTCATTCTACTAATTGCCTAAGATGGGACCAAAGAAATCCATCAATATAAATAGACCTGAGAGAAAGAGCTAATCTGAATACAACTTAGATGTCAGGTATGTAGTTTATTCGGAGGGGAGAAAAATAATCTACAGAAACACATCAGTATAAGAATTATGTCCATATAAACATAAATGCTTACCAAATGAGCACATGTTTTTGTTCGTATATATTTATATATAGTTGTAGATGCATTATATGCATGTTATATGATATAGATATGAAATACTATCTCTTACTTTAGTATATAGATTTCTGCTTTGAGTAGCTCACATTTAACAGACTACATCTCTTATGTAAAGATTTCAGTGATGTCATACTCTAGACCCAATAGCATGGAATTGAGATAGTTCTTTGCCCTCCCAGATCTTAGTCCTTCAGCCCAACTGCTAACTCCACTTGCACTGTATTCCTTCCTTAGCCTGGGCGTCCCTGCCAGTCACTTTAGGGCAGACAGTTGTTATCAATCTCTTGTCTCATTCATCAAGGCCAAAAACAGTCACTTTTCTGTTATAGCTAGTGCCTTTGTTTGTGAATTTCTGGTATGATGAGCCAAAGCTAAGCTTTCTTTGTGCCTATGACTCAAAGAAAATCTGTCTAGTATTTTCCATTAGTTGCCTATGGCTTTCCTAGAACTGGTTTAGCAAACATGTATTGAGTAGTTATAAGGAACAAAACTAAATGAGATCAAATATATTAGAAATCTAAGAACTGCAAATTAATATAAGAATAAATAACATTGTGCTTATTAATTTGACTAGACCAGTTAAGAAGCCCAATAATGGTTGATGTTGGTGGGATGTGGGCTTATATGAAGCCTCATGCATTACTGGTAGGGGTGCAACTTTGGAGTGCAGGCCAGCCCTGCAGAGGTGAACTAATATACCCTGTGACCCAGGATTCCATTCTAAGGTCTGTACCCAGTGAGCTTCTGATATAGGACCATGAAGAGGTGTGCATGAGGATTTTCAGTAGAGATTATTTGTGATGCTGGAGAGTTGAAGGCAACTTTAAGTTGATGGCAACACTGGAAGATTGTGGCAGATGTCTGCCTAGGAGAACTGTGCAGTGGTGGGAGACAAGGATTCAGGGAATGCATGGCAACATGGGCTAGATTGTATTAGCCATATTTTCTGTATTCTAGATGGTCTGGCCTCTGGGGCCTCGCTGACTTGGGAGTGACTGCCCCTCCCAGGGCTAGCCAATTCTTAGAGATTGCAAATGACTTACCTAGGAGCACACCTTTCAGATGAAAACTAACCAATTCAGAGCCCTTACTCTAACCATCTCTTCTGTCTGGCTCTTACACTCCAGGAGGCAATATTCCTCTGCCCTAATTATGTCAGAGCCAAGTACCAGATAAGACAGGACAGCTGCTATACCCAAGAACCTGCTGAAATTGTTCAGACTGGCCAACCTTAGATCAGCTTACCCTGCCTCACCCATTCCTTCCTGCAGAAACTACAATAAAGCTTCTTGCCCATGTTTTCCCCTTGTTCCCTCTGCCTAATGACAGACCCTGGAGCTTCCCCTCATGGCCCTGCAGGATGTGGTATGCCCCCTTCTCTGGGGAACTGTAACAAACTGTCTTCTGATCTGATGGCCTCATTGTAGCTGAATCATAATAAAATCTATTTTAAAACATTGATATTAAGAAAATAGTGCTTAACTTAAAAATAAAGGAACAAATATATATATATATATATATACTATTACTTAAATATTTTAAAACCCATGGAGACAAAACCACAGACATATTTTGTTTAAGGGCTCCTTTTAACAGAGTGGGTGTGTAATGGTGGGAAAGGGAAATAGAATGGGATATAGAGACAAAAAAAAAAGATGAATAAATAAAAGAGACACCTTGAAGACGATGAATCAAATATTCTCTGACATCTGTCAACTTTCAATTGAGGCCATAAATGTGGGGAATTATCTAACAACATGAGACAGGAGCGTCCTTGGGCCTGAGGCCTCCTCTGGTCGGCCCACGCCGTAGGAGTTCAGAGACAGGGAAGAGCCTGCTGGAGGCTGAGTGCTTTGGAAGATACCAGTTTCCTTCAGGCCCATTCCTGCAGCATTTCTCCAAGTCCGTTCCAGGGTGGACTGTCTTTTTTTGAGATGCTGCACCAGAAAGGTTCCTATAATTCGATAAGGTGGGAAATGCTACCTCCCCTGCCTCCCCTGGGGAACTATCTGATGTCTACTGGGATATCATTCAAAGCTACAGGGAGTATCATAGGGGAGAAGTTAGTAGAATCTTGCATGATTCTTTGTCTCCCAGATTCAACTGACCACAGAATCCTTCTCAGTAAAACCTATTTACCTGGATGTTACAAGAAAGACAAGGCTCAGAGGGGAACGTCTGAGAACTTTGAGTTACTCCTGGCTCAGTCTTTTTGCCTCACAGAGAGCTTGGCACGTGGCAGGCTCCCAGGTCATGTTGGTGAACTGAGGAAGACATGTTCGTATGACCTGGACAAATAGGAAGGGAAAGGGAAAGCTTGTTGGAAGAGGAGCCCTTGAATTCAAGGACCCCTGTTCCTTAGCACCTAGAGGGCTCAACAAGAATACTGTGTTTTTTTCAAATCAGAAAGCAATCAGTTCACATCATAGCTTTTAGGTCTTGTGATCTTTGGAAGTCTTTTAAAGTCTCTCAGTTCAATCTTCTCATGGACACAATGCAGGTTACAAAACTTCATAGGTGTGTGGTGAAGATTAGAAACAATATATAAGATATATCTGGTATGAAATAGTTTAATAAAAATTAACTATTAGCATCATTATCAGAATTGCTAATAGCTTAAGTCTTTGCTAAAGACTAATAGCAAACATGTTTACTACTAACTAGATGAACATGGGAGTGGCTCATTCAAGGTCACATCGCTGAAAATGATTAGCAGGGTGGGAACTAAAATCTGCTTCTCTTAGGTCCTGGTTCAGTATAATTTTCATTACATTGGACCAAGGATCCTTTTGCCTATTCCATGATTAAAGGAACACAGCAAAGTCTCTTTTGGAGTGTTGAATGGACCACTTCATTGCAGCACTGGAGAGAGACAAGTAACGAGATTTAGAGGCCATGAGGTGCCACAGGGATTATTGTGTCATTTGGGTTTTGCATCCTTGTTAATAAGTTAGAAAAGGTTGTAAAGAATATGCTAATTAAATCTGTATATTACCCTAAATGGAGAGGTATTACAAACCCCACCAATGACAAAGACGTGACATAAAGGGACCTGGAGCTGTCAGGCATATGGACAGGAAATCACTAGATGAGATTCAGCTGCAGTAAATGCATCCTAATACATCTGGGGACAAATAATCTGAAACACAGATATTCAATGGGAGGAAGATATTTGGAAAGCAGTAAATGCTGAAAGGGACCTGGGGGATAGTGGACAGCAAATTAGATATGGGTTTTCATTGTGTTAGGCCAACAGAAATTGGTAATGCAATCTCGCACTGTATTTTCCACAGTCCCCTGGAGCAGCTGGGAGGAGAAAGCCTCTTTTGCTAGGAAGATCAAGTCTGCTTGCTGTACTTAAGCACTCCTGAAGAATGGCCTTGCTGGGGATGGGGTGGAGGCGAGGGCCACTTTGCTGTCTGTGGTCTCTACACCACAAGGGTGGAGAAATTTACATTTGTCTTAGCTCCACACTAACCCTGTGTCCTTGGAGACCGTATCTCTGTGCTATGACCCACCATCTTGTGGGTGTGCTTTCTGGGGATAGCCCACGAGCACAGTCTGCAGGGAAGATCCCTCTGGTCTGAAGGGAGGACTTAACTCCAGGTGTTTGTTTCTATTTGTTTCTTTCCTGGTGACTCTGGTGCGTCCCGTCCCCCAGGGCCAAATCCTCCTCCCCGTGGAGTTCAGCTATGGTAGCCTTTCTGCAGACAGAGGAGTGTTGAAGGAAACAACCCTCTGCCCTCAGGAGCCGTGCCCACCCACAGGGGTCAGTAACTGACTCCTTCCACCCCTCCACCTCTTCCTCCTCCTTCTTTTTGCACTTCACACTGCCTGCCCCCATTTTTCAGTCCCCTCCAAGTCTCAAGGCTGCCCTTGATGTGTATTCAACCTAACTTCCCTACTGGGGCCGATGACCACGTACTCTAATTTTCTTTCAGCCCCACCCCACTCCACTCTCTCAGGAAAGCCCTGGAGCTGTCTGATGAGTTCAGAGTGTTTCGTCGCAGGTGGGTCCTGCTCCGTGGGGCAGGTCTGACCAGAGTGCCCTTCCAAACCTTTGTGAAAAAAAGTCTAGCCCTTGCCAATCCACAGTTTCTTCTTTTTCCTCTCTGGGAGATCCTTACCTTTCAGGAAATCCTTCAGAGACTGCTTAGCCGTGGCTATGTCAGGGGGCCTGGTGAAAAGCAGCTGTAGGCTGGCAGAAGTCTGAAGCTGGGAAACTTTGTACTGCTTCTTTCTTCAACAAGCCCTGGCTTCCTGCATTCAGAATGTGCTTCATCATACTCATCATCTGGGTTTGCATTTAGGGTAATTTAGCTTTGGCCTATCTTTTTCACTCAACACTCATAAATAAGTGGCCAAGTTTCAAGTTACCGCTTGAATATTTTTTTGCATTCTGTTCAGTAAGTGGTCAATGAGTGCTTTCTCTGTGCCTACAACTCTGCGAAGTACCTGTGTTGGGGTGGGGTGTCAGGGGGTCATGGGGGCGGGGATGGGGAGAGCTATACTGTCACAGAGGGTCCTGAATGAAATAGGCATTGCTGTGGAAGAACTTGAGCTCTCAGTTCTGGTGGGTCATGGATATAAATGGATGGCAGCTGCCAGCACAGTGATTTATAGGTGATACTCCCAGCCAAAGGAAGTCAGGCAGGCACATTTTGGAACTGTAGACTGCTATGTACAGAGCATCCTAGTATATTTAGCAAATGAGATTGCAAACCACAAAAAAAAAAAGGCTGAGTGGGTGGAGAGGAAGAACATTCTCTGGCCAGAAACTTGCTGAATTGGAGGGCCAGGGACTGGAGGCTTCGCAGAGGTGGGGAGAGAAGTTCTTTGGCTTGTCCTAGACAAATAAATCATCAACGAAGAGATATACCAAAGGCCAATTATATGGAGTGTTTTCTTGGAAAATCATCTCTCAGGCCGTAAATCATCCCCAGCACTGGTGGGCATTCAGATGGCCCTGGGACAGGAGGGGTGTGGGGGGTGTACCATTGCACCCCAGTGTCAGGTGCAGGAATTACACATGGCTGCTCACGTGATGGCAGAAACACATTGTGTATAGCTGTCTTTACCCAAGGAAGCAGTATAGAGCAGAACTATTTACTCTGGCCTAGAAATCGGAAAGCTAGGACTTTCGACCAGGTTTTGCCTGTGAGTTTCAACCTCTCTACAAAGTTGAGTGGGGACTGGGTTATCTCTAAGGTCCCTAGAATCAACGGCATTTATTTTAGGTTCTCAAGTTCTTTATGACTTCCACATAGTATAGGCACTTGCATCTCGGCACCCCACCTTGGTTATTGTTCCAAGGGAGACAGAAATACCCGTCTACCATGAAAAATCAGTCACAGGGCTATTTTAAGAGGTCGGATGGAGATTCTGAAAGCTAGGTCATCATGGCAGCTATAGAAAGAGCTGGAGACTTTCAGTCTGGAAAAAAAAAGAACTCGGGTGAATGCCAGAAGGACTATGTTCAACATCTAAAGGGCTTCAAGTGGAAGAAGACATCAATGTCTGCTGTCCCACTCCAGGAGTCAGAAAGAGGACCATTGAGCCAAAGATACAGGGGCTCCAGTTGAAGCCCCAAAGGAGAGAAGAGATAAATCATTATGCTGCTGGTCACTGACACAGACTTTGATATGCCCAATTTTTGAGAGTATGGAAAAAACTCTTTGACTCAGGCCTGCACCTAAGACCTATGGAGAAGAGAGCCATCTGTCACTGCTGTAATCTAGCAGAGGCTGGGTGACAGGAGTACAGCAGAGGGGACACTGCTCTGCTCTTCACATAGACATCTTCTGTCTCTAGGCTGTGACTACATGACCAGAGGGAGGAGAGGCTCTCTCCTTCTCCTCTTCCCTGCAAAGCTTTGTTCCCCTGATTGAGGATGGGTTCATTTCTCTCTAGGAGAGCTCTAGTAAAATTTGTCTTCTCTTTGGAGCAAATATATCTTGACACTTTGAGGGTGGGGATTTAATTCATTGCCAACAAGCAGGAAGGCCTCTGGGGAATGGAATGGAAATTAGGAACTGACACCATTTCTGAATGGGGATCCAAGCAGGAAGGAAACTCAGGCCTTCCAAAGGGAAGTCTGGCGGTCACCCATTCATTTCCCAATTATTTATTTTGTAAGTGGCCAACTGATTCCTTATAGGCCTGTTGCTGGTGAGTTTGTTTAAACCTTTTTTGGAATATATTGGTCATTTCAGCCAGTGCACTCTGGGGCCAGTGCATTTACAAGGTCAATAAAAAAATCTATTATTATCTTAAAATTTACTCCTTTACCCAATATTTGAGAGTTTCTCGCTCCCTATATTCTAAGATAAAATGAGCAAACATTTTTATTTATCCTTGTGATTCTGTTGATTCTGAAGGGCTCCTTTCTCAGTCTTTGACTTAGAGACAAAAGCCTTCCTAATTGTCCTTATGACAATTATTCAGTCCCTGTGATTAAGTCAACACGCACCAAACATTTAAGTCTCTGCTTTATGGAAGTCACTGAGGGAGGCACTGATGCTAGGGATGAAAAAGACACTTTCCTTGACTCTCTTTATACAGGATTGTAGTAGAGCCGAAAGGGATGTAATACATCAAGTGCTGTGCCCTAGAGCAGAAGAGTATGCACCGCAGACACTGGCCATTGTTCACAGGTAGCTTTTATCTCCCTCCTGTTAGGGATGGAATCACTGACACTATTAGAATTTCAGTGACTCCCCCAAGTTCCTATAGCTGGCAAGTGATAGAGCCGGCATCCGAACCCATTTTGACTTTAAGGCCTGCATCCTTTCCACTGGGCAGCACTTCCTCCCTTTGTTCAAATTGTTGGTGGAAATACAAGGAAACATTTGTGATTTAAAAGTGAGTTGGAGAAGTCTTAAATGTACTGGAAAAAAGTGAAGATGTTTTATAATAAAACAAATAGGAAGATGAAGCAGGAAGTTTACCAGTGTCCTGGGATTCTTAGCAGCCACTTTGGGTGGGAATCTGAGCTCTTGGAATGCACAGTCAGAGTCGTGGCTATGCCTGGCCCCAAACGTAAAATGGTAGACTTGACGCGAGGCTCCAGCTCAGTCATCCTTGTCTGTTATGTTTGGAGGCAACAGCGCTGCATGAACCCATTAACTCCGAAATTTCCACCAGAGCCTCTGTCTTTCCCCGACTGCAGGAGCAAGAGTACACTGCTCTGTCCTGAGGTGATCAGCTTTCCGTAGGCACAAAACCACCACAGCTTGCCTCCGCATCTTTCATCACCTAAATGAGGGCAGTTAATGTTTAAGAGTAGAGAATAGGGAACATAATGATGGATAAATTATAAGTTTGGGGATGTGAAAAGTCAAACTGTGTAAATATGTATTTTAAACCACAAACAGAATGTTAATGCATCTTTCCCATTAACTCACTAACTGAAATTACAGAGTGTAATGTGAGCCAACGCCCACGGGTTGGTTATGATGTTTTCAAATTTAGAACAGCAAATGATAAATGTCCTTCCCTCAGACAAAGAAGCGATTGACACAGCTTTTCAGTGTAGTCACTGACAATGTTGGCGACAGAAAATAAACTGATGCTGGGGAGGAGGGAGGTCAGGAGAAAATAAACTGAATGTTGGAGAGGAGCGAGATCAGGAGATGCCTGGGGAACGGGCTCCTGCCAAGTACCTCCTGGCACCTGAGGAGCATCTCTGGGCCCAGAGCAACTTCTCCAGGTGGTGGGGACGTGGGTGTGGTTGCCTGACATGTCTTCCTGCCTTCAAGGATGGGCTTGTTTTTAACTTAAGCATCAGCTCTATCTTGCTGTAGGTTGGTGGCTGGCAGTTGAAGTGAAGTCAGTTTCACTTGGGCTAGGTTTGGTTTGACAACGTATGGTTTATTTAGCAGCCATTTCCTCGTGAGGTTGCTTATGGGCAGCTGTGTAGAAGAGAGGCTAAAAGGACGCAGAGAAATTGGAACCTTTGTGCCCCGCCCGTGGGAATGTGAAGTGCTGTGGAAAGCAGCATGCTGCTTCCTCAAAAAATTAAAAACGGAGTTGAGCAGTCTCACTTGTGGGTGTATACCCCAAAGAATTGAAAGCAGGGTCTCCCAAAGATCCTTGCACACCCATGTTCATAGTGGCACTACCACCATAGCCTGAAAGTGGAAGCAACCCAGGTGTTCATTGACAGATGACTGAATGAATAAAATGTGGTCTGTACATGCAGTGGAATATTATTCAGCCTTAAGAAGGGAGGAAATTCTGTCACATGCTACAGTGTGGATGAACATTAAGCCCTTATGCCCAGTGAAATAAGCCAGCTACACATGACAAATAGTGCGTGATTCCATTGATAGGAGGCACTGAGGGCAGTCAGATTCATAGAAACAGGAGAGTGGTGGTTGTCAGCAGCTTTGGGGAGCCTGGGGGTAGGGGGAGAAGGGGATGAGTTCCTGTTTAATGGGTACAGATTTTCTGTTTTGGAAGATGAAATTAGTTCTGGAGATTGGTTGCACAACAGTGTAGTAAGCCCTACTATTGAACTGTGCACTTCAAATGGATGAAATGCTACATTTATCTTGTATGTGTTTTACACAACTAAAAATAAAAAGGAAGCAGGGGGTAGGGTGGGGAGAGGTTAAGAACATGGCCTTAAGCGGGGGAGAGCTCTGTGCTGAAATCTTGGTGTTGCCTCTTCCAAGCTGGCAATCTGTGGGCTTAAACTTATCTCTGTGCCTCCCAGTAGTAATGATAATAATAGTACCTCCTTCTTAGGGCTGTTGTGAGGCTTGGAAGAAATAATATTCTGTATTCATTCCACACCTGGTATTTAGCAAAGACCCAACATAGGTATTAGTTGTTAACTGCCATGACTTCTCCTCTCCTCTGGGAGAGGGGACCTCATTGGTGTGTGCTCCCGGTGATGATACTCAGTCTCAGAGATGTTCTGAAGCTCTGCCCTCCTTTCTCTGATTACCCTGATTCTGGCCGTCGAGATCCTGCTCATTCAGCCCAGCCTCATACACCAGCCCTTTGAGGAAGTCCACTGTCACTGCTCCAACCCATGTTCATTCAGCCAACAAATGTACAGCTCTCCCTGTGTCCACTTGCTGAGCTTTTACTGAGGGCCTACTGTGAACCAGAATGTAGGGAACAAACCCCAGGTCTTGCTCTGGTTGCTGCACACATGGTTTCCTTGACATGTGTCTTCATATTTGTTGTGTGTATGAAGGCCTTTCACCACAATATCCCAAGTTCTTTGAAGGTGAGAGTCTTGTCTCATTCATTTCATCTCCACCAAAGTGCTTAGCTGACCTTAGATAAGAAAACCAGTCATACTGACTCCTTTGAGTTGGGCTGTCTCTCAGAGGAAACCCCACAGAGAAAACCAGTTCCCATAGGGGCTTAGAAGAATCCTAGTGCCAGGGCCTGAAAAGAAAACCTGGCTCACTTAGCCCTCCTAACCTTCTTGCCATCACCT